GCCACACCTCCAACTGACTGTTCACAGGACACTTTACACCTGGAGGCCCTTTCCATAAAGGTGGCTCACAAATGCAAAATAGTCCACATCCCCAGAGATGTCTGAAAAAGCTATTTCTGCCATGCAGGGGAAATGAACAACCCAAAAAAAGCTGCCAGCAGTGAACAGGACCCCGTGGCATTCAGCGTGCACGAATTGGGTCCATGGAGCTGCTGTTCATGAGGCTGTGAATTTATCACCCCCTCCCATAAACAGTGTCAAGCAGAAGGAGGTAAATTCCAGAGAGAGGGTAAGTGGAGGTGACCCACAGGTGATGGCTCTTCAAAGGTATTCATGGCAGAGCCACTTATTGGGGAATAAACACAATACAACCAAGGGGAAAGAGGAGCAAATTATGGATATAGGTCTGGGTGGGAAAGAAACTAATGATCTTTCTCTAGCACCTGTTCAAACAAATAGTCCTTTTCATCCAAGAGGGCATCCAAATATAACAAAAGACATGATGGGACATCAGCTAAATATTAACAAAAACTTGGTGGGGGCAGGGTAAACAAACTACTACTTGTGTGTAGTAAAGCCTTTCTTTTGGGTCATTAACAATAACTAAGGGAAAACTGAATAAACTCTGTCAGCAGCATGAATAGCATTAACTTCCAATGTGTATGGATGGTTTGTTAGATCCCGTACAGATTAGATAGAAGCCATTCATTCATTCATTCCATAAATACTATGTACTAAGCACTGAGGTATTGAGAACTCAGTGGACAAGGCAGCCATGGCCTCTGCCCATATGCAGCTGACATCGCAGGGGTGGACTTGTGGCAGTGAGCGGTCCAGCTCTGGAGTGGAATGGCCTGTGCGGAGTCCTAGTTCCATCCAGCTGTGTGATCTTGAACAAATTACTTAACCCTGCCATACCTCAGTTTTCCCATCTGCCAAAGGGGGATGCTATTAGTATCTACTTCAAGGGGTCAGGGTGAGGCTTAAAAGAGAGAATGCACAAGAGGTATTCAGAGCAGAGCCTGCCATTCAGAGTGTTTCAGGTGTGGCGGTAGCTGCTGATACTACTGCAGGCCAGGGGGACTGAGAAGGCCAGCCTTGAGCAAGGAATGACAAATGCACCAACACGTCGGAAGGAGAAGGCAGAGGCTGCACTTAACAAGAGGAACCAGTCCAACAGTAGACGTGCGGTTGGAGGCAGGGTCTGGTCCAGGGCCCAGGCTCCTGGGTTCTCATCTAGCTTCCTCAGCCTGATGAAAACCTAGTTAAAACACAACTGCAATGGAACTCTGGTCCTCAGACTAAGATATAAAAGCCAGCACACTATTGTAACACGAACATTAACGTCACCTATAGCATGGCCAAGCAGAATAAGGTTTTACAGAGGCAAATGGCAGCCAGATTAAAAGTCAAGCTCTGGAGTCCAGCAGACCAGGGCTTACACGCTAACTCCACCACGTACTAGTTTCATGAACTTGAACACATGACTTGACTTCTCTGAACCTTGGTTCCTTTCCATTTTGAGTGAGGTTAATGAGAGAACCCATACTGTAGGGTGGCTGACTGTGAGAGCGGATGTTCAAACACTGACAGCCTCTGATCTTGCTACTGTTGTTTAATCTCATGCCCAATTTACTGTGGCCATTTCTTAAATATTGAGGTCTTTATTATTATGTCTGCAAACTGGGATCATAATATACATACCATTCTGCAACTTGCTTTTACACTTAGCATTTTTTCAAGCTAGTATTATAGAGGCAGTTCATTTTTTTAATGAAACAAAATTTCAGAGATGCACAATAGGCATTGTGCATTCTAAAGGTATTTGTGTTTTGCAGATCACATCAGCACCAACACATATTTGAAGGGAGTGGCATGTGCATGAATGGGCCATATTATATCTTTGACTTATACTCTAGAAATAAATGAAGACCAACCAATCGGGAAAAGCGAAGGCTAATTATACAGAGCTTACAATAGGAAGGGAGTCAGCCACGGTCACCTGCATTTTCTGAGATACAAAGGTAGGCAGAGGACTGGGAGAGCTTTATAACGGAAGGAATGAAGGGCTTCTTGTGTGCCCTGATTGGAGGCTGTTGGCATGGGGACACTCAAGAGAGGCAGGGCATCTTATTGGCTAGGGGTGTGTGTGTGTTATTCTCTCTGGTTGTTCCTAAGTCGGAAGCAGGGACAAAAATTAGAGGTGCCATCAGGTATTAGTCAAGTTCTGGACATTTGGGGCCAAGTTTTACAGAATCATTGTTTTGCTTCCTTGATTGTCACTAGACATAGCAGCCTGGCTTCCTGGGCTGTTTATTGTAGATAAAGGGCTGGTCTCCTGGGCATCTTGGGGCTCAAAGTCAATATGATCTGGCCATTGTTTGCATAGTCAGTCTTTCAATGCACAAGGCTTGATGGTTCATAAGCATGTATGAACCCCTCGCAAGTGATTTCATGAAGGCCCCTTTCTTCACAGCCCACAGAAAGGAATCCCTTACTTAAAAAATTATTGGAAAATAATGCTGGCATATATCCTGGGATGGATGCCTTTTGTGGGTAGTAATCTTGCTCAGACTCCCTGCAAAGGCCACATGCTTTCCAGGCAAGAACAGAGTATTCAGTTTGTATGCCCTTCTCTCCTGGGTAAGAGAAGTTCAGCTGCTGAAGGTAGCTGAGATGCTCGGGAGATGCTGTGGGCTGCTGTTCAAAGGGATTTCGCATTGGAAGTCCTGGGGTCTGATGCCACCTCTGCCCCATCCTAGCCAGGCACCTCTGGGAAGCCACCAGTTCCAGGCCTGCTTCTGCTTCTGGGATACAAGTCCAGCTGGGTGCTTTCACAGCCGCCCCCCTGGGTGCATGTGAGAGCTGCAACACTATTTGTGAAAATGTTTCATAAACTGTGTAGAGTTATGCAAATGTTAAGTGGGTATTATCAGGATTATAGAAAAGTTATTGCCTGGAATCATGCTTCCAGAATTTTAAAGAATCCGTCAATGGGATTTTTTTGAAAAAAAATTTTTTCCCCTGGCATTGTTCTCAGCCAGGTTGCTATGCGGAGTCTTACTCGGTCTGCTATTAGGTCTTTAATTCAGAACAACAAAGATTCAATTAATCATTTCTGGCATAACTACAATGTCCCTCCGGATTGTGTGCTTCTGGGAAGCCCTCTCAGCTGGAGGAGCGGCCCTAACTCCTTGTTCATCCTGCAAACAGATCAAATGGCCCTGGGGGAAAAGCCCTATTAATGGCCAAATGAATTAGTAGCAAGTTGGGAAAAATACAGTTTACCTTCCTTTACGCAATGAGGTGGTCTAGTAATGCAGCTAAATGGGATTGCTCCAGATTGAATTAAATGGGGAGATGGCTATTTAAGGGCCCCCTGGGGGGAGTTACTTGATAAAAGAGCTTTCCATTTTCATGAATGAGTCCCCTGATAGAACTGCTTTTTCTAAATTTGAATTTTTATCATCTGGTTTCAAATTATTAATATGTATTATAATACATATTAAACTATAAGCAGAAATTATAGAATAGACTATAAAAATATAGAGAACATAACATTCCATAGAATATATGGAACATATTATAATTTATGTAATTATAATAGTTTTTGAGCCCAGTGGCTAAAAAAGTATGTGAATTATGTGGTTATTTGCATTTCTCCTCTGAGGGAATAACATTGAAACAAAGGTGGTGACTTGATTTTAGTTCCTTCAAAAAATGTACTTCAACAAGGGAAAAAATTTCAACTCAGGATAAAGAAAACATTTCCAATAAATAGTTATGACCTACAAGGGAATGGGTTGCATTTGAAGTATTAAGCTCCCTGTCAGAAAAAAAAATGCAAATTATGGGGAGCAACTTTGTGGAAATCTGTTTTCATTTGATGATTGGGTTTGAATTCATTCTAGAAAATCCATGTCTATAAGAGACGTGAGATGGGCAGGCCTCTCCTACTTTCAGTATGTTTAGGGTAAAATAAATATAAAAAACAAATCTGAAGGGAAAGGAAGTGCCCCAGTTGCACTCCAGTGAGCTAATTGGTAGTGCTTACCGTGCTGCATCTAGTGATGGGGGCTCCAGATGTCTGTATTTACATGTGCATTGAGGTAGTAGGTTGGGGGGAAACATTAAGCCATTTTCTGAGAGAATGACTTTCTGTTTTCACTGGGAATGCCTCCTCAAATCACTGCCTAGAGCAAACAGCAACCATCCCTTCCTTAATCTCTTTTTCCAGCTATTTCCAAAATATAAACACACATTTACATGCATAGACAGGCATATATGCCATAAAGTAGATGAAGAACCCAGAGAGAGCCTTCAATCAGGCCAAGAGGTCAGCCATAGTCACAGGAAGACACCTTGAACATCACCTGGAAGGGACAAACCCTCTCAGTTTACAAATGAGCAAAGTGAGACCCAGAAAGACTGTGACTCCCCTGAGATGGCACAGCCAGATAAGCCCAGGGGGGCAAGTCCTTCCTTCTCCCTGTCTCCTGAAGGGCATTGTGGGGAGATTGCAAGTAGCCCTGCCTTGGGGACAGGGAGCCGTGGTGCTGTGCTCATCAGTGGGGTAATGCTTGCCACCCATTTGGAAGCTGCTGGATAGAATCACAAGTAAATATTATTACCCTCTGCAAATGAAATGTTCCCCTGCACACAAGCTGTTTTCACTTGTTGCCTGCAGCCACTGCTGCTTGTGGCTGCAAAGATTGACACTGAGCTCCAGCTCACAGGTATCCATTTGCTCACAAGCTTCAGAAAATTGAAGGGCTGGGTCTGGTTCTTCTTATTAAAAGCAAACAAACCCATTATTAAAAGTAAACAAGGCAGAACTGCTCTGAAACAATTGATGAAATGTCTCCTGGCTCAGAGGCCTAAATTCAGCCCTGTTACCCCAAACAAAACCTCCCTTCTTGAAAATCTAAAGAGGGAATGCCAGCAGTGTCTGGTTAGGAAGAATGGTCCCTGCCTGACCCCCCTTCTCTGTGCCCATTACAGGTTAGGCTTGGAAACCCCATTATCTCTTATCCTCAAGATTTAGAAGTGGTTGTTACGTTTTACATTTACCAGTGATGGCAAGGGCAGGTAAGTAATTGGTTTCTGAACATAGCTGAAATATGGAAACATGAAGATTTGAACTACCAAGTGCTACACTCCTGCCAGGCAGTCCTCTCCATGCAGCTGCCACTCTGGGTTCCAGACTCCTTCGCCTCTCTTTGCCCTTCAGTCTCAGGGGTGGAGACACTATCCTGCTTTGGCCCCTGGCACGGCATGGTCCCATTGGTTTGCTTAAACGCTGCCCATGTCTCTTTCTCAAACTTCCTACATTTTCTGTTGCAGTGGGCCATGTGTTTCCTGCCAGTACCCTGACACAAAACTCCAGATAAATGGCCTGAAAGACACATTTGCAAAGAAAAATGTGGTCAGCTCAGTGACATCACTAGGTCTCTTCTAAAGAGCTGTGTGCTGGCCCGTCTTCAGTTTCTGTAGATATCTGTTAATCCTGAGAATAAGTGATTTTTATGACCCACTCCCACCCCCAATAACAAAGGATGTTCTAGTAAATACAAATTTAAGTTTTAAAAATTGTTTCAGGGTTTTGGTTTTTTTTTTGTGCCAGTTTGAAGGAAATGAGTGGATAGTGTGAATTACAATTTTCAGTATGAGAATTCAGTATGAGAAAATATATTAATTGTGTTTTTCTTGTTGAGAATTTGCCCTGCTACCTGAATCTGAGGCTTTATGTATTTCATAAGCTCTGGAAAATTCTCAGCCAATCTCTTGGAATATCTGCTTCCCCCACTCCATTCTCTAACAATATGTTTTATTCTCATTATGTCTTTCGTGTCTCTTACCCTGTTTTTTCTATTTTCTGCTTCTTTATTTCTGTGTGCTTTCTTCTGATCTTCCTGACAAAAAAATTCTCTTTTCAGCTCTGTGTCTATTCAGCTTTCTAACCTGTGCAAATATATATGGTAATTTCAGGGACTATATTTTTCATTGCTAGGCACTCTAATTCTTTTTTTAGTGCTTTTCCTCTTTGCATAGTGTCTTGTGTTTTCATTTCCAACTTTTATATTTTAATCATTCTAAATATATTTACTTCTAGCAGACTGTTATCTTCAGCTCTGTGGGTTAAATCCTATCGTTAGTTGTGCCTGCTGACTATTGAACATGATGGGTAAAACTGTTCCCTTGTATAATACATAATTTTGAATTGTGAGCTCATTTCAAGGGCTTTTACTGTGGGAATCCTATAAGGGCTTGACTGGGGGTAGATCCTCTCAGAGCCATTTCTCATTTGGGCATTTGGGATCCATCCAAGGTAAGGCAAATTTAAACTCCAAGGGCAGCTGTAGTGCAGACTTCTGGTTATACATTCTCAGTGGATGCTTTTAGCCCCTACCCAGAACCCAGAGTCCAGACCCAGACTACCATGCTTCTCTGTCAGCTACGTGTCCTGTGGGCATATTGCTTCCTGGTCTACCTGTCCTTAAAGCTGCGGAGTCATGGAGCGCTGACTCTGCAGGGGGCTCTCAGTGGCACTTTGCTGCTTATGTGAGTGAGCCCAAGGCCTCTTTTCCTGGTGCTTCTTGGGGATGAACACCCCTGCTTTACTGAAACCAAAGGCTTTTCCCAGGGTAATCGAGGCATCAGTTTCATGCATTCTCTTCTTGTTTTCAGCTTCTTTGTTTCTGGTCTCAGAGGATTTCCCTTCTTTCTTGTTAGCTCTGCCATTTATTTAAAAGGAGTCTGATTACATTTTACTTGGTGTGTCGACATGTCCTAGCAGGAGTGGGGTTCAAGTTATAGAATCTGCCTCTTTGTGAAAACTGAAAGCCCCCCTTTCATCGTATTTACATCATGAAATGTTGGGTTTTGCATAATGTACAATATTTCCATTTTTAGGTAAACTCAGATGCCTCCGATTGATTAGAAATAGATGTTTTTCAGTTGCTTCACATGGCATGGTAAAGGTAAGGTGTTTCAAAATAATATGCTCTTCCTGACTTTATTGCTACTCTCACCAGAATGCATATCTTTCCTACAACCTTTTTCTCATTGTGCATATATGGAACAGAAACAGCTAAGCTCCAGAAGTGGAATAGATTAGATTCTGGATAATCTTGTTCTGTAAATTACAGTGGGGATATCTGCTTGCCTGAGAACCTCATTCTCACTATCAAGGCAATTCAGAAACCAAATAGTCATCAGGCAGCTTGCAAAAATATAAACAAGGAAAAGGAAATCCTTGGAGAGCAAGTGTGGCTTGGCACAGAATAGATGCTCAAGAAACATCTCAGGAATAGATTGAACCACCCCTACCCCAGTGCAGGGCATACACACTTTCCTGGTGACCTGGAACCAGATAGGACCTCTCTTCCCTGAATAGCCCCCAGAGAAAAAAATTCTTACATCTTTTCCCCCCCTTTCAGATCTTCCCCGTGAACTATACCCAATTCCCATAATCAGAAACTGCAAATTGGCCCACAGAAGGTTTTTTAAAAAATTGGGGCATTTAAAAATATTTCATTTTTGGGAAACTTCACATCAAGATCCAAAGTTTTAGCCCCTCTGGAAGGATTGGAATATGTGGCAGTTAAGGGCCCACACTCCCACCGGGGAACAGCTAGACCTTGGAGGCAGAACTCGCTCTCCAAGGTCTCAACAGTCCCCTCCGCCATTGTGAACTTACACCTGGCCTGCTTCACACAGGTATGCTGCCTGACCTCCGTAGGCATGGGCTTGTGGCCCTGGAGTTCCAGCATTCCATGGGGCTGGCTATCAATCAGTTCCTGAAGGTTGTAAGTTCTTTCACTAGTTTCCTGCCCTGTGACACATTCTGTGCATGGAAGTTATACTTGGGTTTTCCCCAGAACAACATCTGCAAACACATACAAAACACGTTTAAGGCGAGTTATTGCAACAGATACGACTTGTTGATTCTTGCTAGTTTCATGTTCCAAAGGGGCTTCTTTTGCTAAATTAGGGACACTTTTATATACTGACAACTCCCCAATTTTTATAAGGGATTTAGAGGCTCCAGGCTCATAAAGCATTCTGTTAAGAAGTCATGAGGTAAGCTGAAACCCATTTTATTTCATAGATGAGCCATGGTAATGATCAATAACTATTCACTGCTAGCCTTTATTGAGTACTTACTGTGCCAAGTGCTAGACTAAGTAATCCTATTCAGGCCTCACACAGCCTTAGGAATTTGTACTTCTAATACCCATTTCACGAATGATGAAACTGAGGCACAGAAAGCTTGGAAGCAAAGGAACCAGAATTCAAACCTAGACAATCCACCCTCTTAACCACCTCAGCTGCCTCTATGCAGAAATCCCCTTGTGAGTGTCACGAATTTCACAATCATTGCCTGAAGTCTCACACCAACCCAGAGGCCTCATATAGCAACCTGGTCACACACAAGAATCACCTGAGGGACGTTTAAAGCATACCCAGTCATGAGAAAAATACAGTAATGGTTAACATTTGGGGAATTTAGTTAAGGGTAAGTGGGAAATCTCTGCATTACTCTTGCAGTGTTTCTATATGTCAGAAATTATATCAAAATAGAAAATCAAAAGAAAAAATGCATTAGAAGAATTTTAGTTGACCTGGAGTGATTTCTACAGGAATTGTTAATAGCAAGAAGTGTTAACACAAAGCGTTAATAACAGATAAGTGTCTGTGATATGATCCAATCTGTATAAAGCAAATGATGACAAATGCATATATACACTTGTACCTATGTCCTTACAGGAGGATGGAATAAAATAAGTAGGATACATTAAAAAACATTGGAGCTCAGTTCCCAGAGATTCTCTTTTAATTGGGCCTGGGTATGGGTGTGTCTTGCCAATGGGTTCAGCCCCGGGCAAGTCCACTATGGATTCAATGTGACCAAAGAAAATTGACAGCAGAACGCTCTTTGGGGTGAAAGGGTTATACCCAACTTTATTTCCAGGTGCAGGTCAGTCACTAGAATCCCATTCACTCAGAGCTAGTCTGCATGCAGCAAGCCGGTCTCGGCCTCTGTCCTCGGCACTGCTACCACTCCAGCCTCTGCTCTGCTGCAGCCTTGCAACCCTGCTACCATGTCGTGCACAGAGCCCTGGGTGGAGTTCTTTATATAGAGTCAACAGCCATGTATTGCCCACAGGTGTGCAGTGAGCTAGTCAGTGAGGGCCAAGTGAGAATTCTGGCCACAGAAACTCGCATTTTATCCACAGGGTGCCTTCTTTTAAAGTTCCTTAGATCAGGGATCTTAAATTTGGTGCATGTTAAAATCATCTGGAAAGCTTTAAAAAGTCCTGATGCCCAGACCAGAGTTCAGACCAATTAAATTAGGTTCCCTGGTAGTAAATCCCAGGTGTGGCTGTTTTAAAATTCCCCCAGGGGATTTCATTTGCCAAGTGTAAGGACCAGGCAGGGCCTTCTGTGCAGCCAGGGCTGAGAATCACTTCTGGGAGGGAAGGAGACTCAGGTGTGAATTTCAGTCATGGGAACAGGCCGTGAGTTAGGAACCCCTGAAGAAACAGACGCTGGCCCAGACATCAAAGAGCCTGCCATTAGTCACAGAACTCCGAGATGGTGGTGGGCAATGTGACTCACCTTCCCCCTGGAGAAGGAGGGTGTTGGGAGCTGTTCTGGGAAATCTTCATTGCCTCCCAGTCTCTCCTTTCCAAGATCATAGGGGTTGAAATCCCTCTAGTAGAGATTCAGTCCTTGAGTTCCTCCTCCTAGGAGCTATTAAAAAATAAATTAAAAAAGCAAATACTGCTGGGAGGAGTTGCATATTAATCATATCTTGATGTCTGCCCAGTGAATGCTGGGTGTTTGAAGTGAGTAAAAAGTTAGAAGGATGCTCTAAAAGGGTGAAAAATACAATGTTGGGGGTATAAACCAGATCTTGTCATTTTCCTTCTCAAAATCCCTCCAATCCCAGGACTCGCTCCAGGCCTTATTAAAAATGCCACATGTCATCCCACATTTGGGCCTTTCCTGCCTCTTGGAACACTTTCCCAGATTCCCTCTCTGGGTGGTTTGGAAGGGCCTGCTTCTCAGTCCTGAGGTCAATTTAGACCCAAAGGCTAAGGAGGCAGGAAGTGTGCTTTCCCAAACACTGCTAAAGCCGGAGGCTTGGGGTATTTACGTTCAGGTGTGTCGCAGGAAAGCTGAACAAACTATCTTTTGGGCTAAGGCACAGGGTTCCTTCTAGGAGGGCCTGAGGGTGTTAGAAGGGAGACCTCAGGCATGGGAGTCAAAACCAGAGTTGGAGTTCTTCTGCCACTTTCCACATTAAAATGAGGGTTAGCTTGGCAACCCCCTTCTCAAGGCTGTGGTAAGTAGATACAATACATGTAAAATGCCTAGGTTGTACACAGTAGGCCCTCAGCAATGTCAGTGGGACAGCATGCCAACATTATAGGCTTGCAGCGTTTACTGTGGAACCATGGCTAGAATGAATCTTGACCTAGTCTCCACTTTTTAAAATGTTATTTCATTGTGGCAAGACGTTTAACATGATATCTACCCTCTTAACAAATTTTAAAGTTTGAACCCAATACAACATTGTTAATTATAAGCACAAAAGTACAGCAGATCTCTAGCACTTACTCATCTTATATAATTGAGGCTTCCTGCCCATCCATTAGCAACTCCCCTGCTCCCAGCAATCACCACTCTACTCTTTAATTCTATGAGTTTGACTATTTTAGATAGTGTTTCATGTAAGTGGAATCATGCAGTATTTGTCCTGTGACTGGCTTATTTTACTTAGCATAATGACCTCAAGGTTTATCCGTATGGTGCATATTGCAGGATTTCCTTCATTTTTAAGGCAGAATAATATCCTATTGTATGTTCCACATTTTCATTACCCATTCATCTTTCATGGACATTTAGGTTGTTCCCACGTCTTGGCTACTGTGAACAGTGCTGCAATGAATCAACTTCTGTTGATAAGTTTTATTGAGTGGTGATTTACTATATGCTTTAGTACTTTTAAGTGCTTTACATATATTAGTGCAGATGAAAGTCAGGCACTCCTATGAAATCTTTCCTCATTTATAGATGAGGAAACCAAGGCCCAGTGAGTCCCGTCTAAGGCCATATAGTTAGTAAGTTAAAAATTGGAGTTTGAACCCAGGCAATCAGGCTCTATAAGCAGTGATCTTAATCACTATAATATGGGTAGTATTAAAAATCATAATTATGATAATGATTGTGGGTAAACTGTGTCAAGCACTGTTATTGGTGAGGATGAGACCTAGGCATCCAAATGACCCTGGGGACAGGACCCAGCAGGCTTGCCCAATAAATCAGTTAATTCAAGGAGTAACACTCCTCATGATTTTGGGGAGACGGATGGAGATGGGGGGTTGTGATAAAGAGTTGGTTAGAGTGGCCCAGGGAAAATTATCTTCTGCAGCTGTGTTATGCAGCTCTGATTCATGATTTTCAAAGCCAGAACTTTTCCAACACTGAGTCTGACACAAGTCTACAGCATTTGCATATGGTTTCTTTTGTGTCCCCCACCACTCCCCACCATTAATTCTCCCCTGTTGTTTTGTGCTTTGAACGGTCAGCTCAAGGTCACCGAGAACAGCCCAGAGCTAGGTGCTTACGTTCCAAGGTCTTTTAAAAGCCGCTTATTTGATTCCCCTCGTCCTTGTCTATTTGAGTCTAATCTAAATAAGGGATCCTGACTGCAGTTACGTGGTGCAGCTGTGAAAATGAACCATCAGCCCTCAAATCAACTTGGGCACACCCGCTCTCCTTCCAGGTGAACCCTCCCAACAGAGCTCTCTGCAGTTATACCAACACCCAGTGCCATCGATGGGCCTGAAAAATATCGTCTGTCATGGGCAATGTCCACAAATTGAAAAACAGTATACACAAGTTCTAATGCTATTTATTTTGCGATGGCAAATCAATCCACTTTCCCAGCATCCTGCAACTTTATTGAATTCGGCATCCCGCTGCAGGATACGCCCTCGAACCCTCGTAATTACATGTTTGGCTGTTTGCAATCGTGACTGGCTCTGCAATCCTCATATGAACGGGCCTCTTTCCAGAAGGCTGCGGTGCCAACAGTGGTTTGCTGTCCTCGTGAGCGCTCACTATATGCTGGGCCCTGCGCAAGTCCCCGGGGAGCGGCAGGGTCTCCTTCCCTCCGAGGCGCGCAGCCATTGTGGGGTGGGCGCTCTCCTGGCCGCGTGCTGACACGCCCTCTCCGCGCCGCAGCGCGCGGCCTGGAAGCAAGGAGCGCCCAGTGCGTGCTCCGGGGAGGAGGAGGTTCCGCGGGGGCGGGATCCTTGCCGCACCGCCCGCAGGCTGCTCTCGGCCGCCGGCGCCCCGTGCCTCCCGGGCACGCGCTCCCCGCCCCGTCCGCGTGCACCGTTCTCCCTGCCGCGAGCGCGCGCCCTCCCCGCGCCCCCGCGGCTCACGCTCCGCTACGAGCGCGCGTGCGCCCCTCCGAACATCCCCGGGAGCCGAGCCAGAGCGAGCGCCGGGCCCGGGCGCGCAGGAGTGAAAAGGAGGCGGCGGCCGCAGGTGCGAGCAACAGATTCGGGCACCGCGAGCAGACACGCTCTGCTGTCGGCGAATTTTTTTAATTTCCAAAAAAAATTACTGATTTAGAAAATCCTACATTTTTAAATGGCGCTGGCCCTGGGTCAGCGGGCGGTTTTCTCTGCTTCAAGATGGGCTTTGCCTTTTCCGTCGTGAGCACCAGCGGTGGCTTGATTGTCAGTTTTCTCCGGGTATTTTTAAGGCCAGAAGTCGAGCGCTGCATGTA